CTTAAAATTGTTAGCTTTCAACTGAATTTCAACGTGGCAAAATAATGAACCCATTTCCAAACAGCCAAAATTCTCGATATTCATAGTACAGTATCTCGTGCTAATAAAAAATATATTGATTGTGAAGGTCTTGCCACAAAGCAGCAAAGTGGTCGTCCAAAATTAATTATCAACGAAAATCAGAAGCAAAATAATCAAAAGTCTGCTGAACAACGACAAACAATAGTAATGTTCCAACTAAAACTAGTAAAACTATTACGTCAAATTCACTGCCATTAAGTCAAAAGTGACGCAAGTAAAATTGCTTTAAAGGCAAATAAAGCTCATAAATATATATTCCAAGATCTTTTTTTTTCTTGTGTATCTCAATCTTCCTTTGTTTCATCAGTTGTTCCCAAGAAGCTAAGTTTTTCTTTTGCTGAATACAAATTCGGTTCCCACACACTTATTTACTGCTAAACTCGAACATTTCTTTATTAATATTAATAACGTGATACATGATCAGGTAGATAAAATCATTGATTAGGGAATTCATATTCAATACTTTATGTTCAAGGGTCAACTAATTTTAGTATATAATTATTATCAAATGGAAATTTTATACAAAAGCTTTTATAATATCAATATTGATTGATTAAGTTATTTTGCAATAATAAACCTTTAATTTTCCATTTTTATCTCTATCCTTCCTCATTGTAATGATCAACTTCTGGCCCTCGCAGAGGAAAATAATAGATAATTAATGTTCTGTTAAAAATAAAACTCCGTAATAAGCATTATTTTTATTACGTTAGTAAGCTTTCAGAAATAAAATAAAAACAAAAACATTGTTTTATTTTTTTTTGTTTAAAGCGTTTTGATAAAAGCAACAAGTGTAGTTAGTTTCTTGGTAAAAGGTGATAATTATAGAGCTTTGGTAAAAAGCCACATTTTATTCGCTTTGGTGAGTAGGCAAGGTTAGGATTAACTAGTGAGCGTTAACAACGATTAGTAACGTAATTTGCTTTAGTGAGTATGCAAAGGTTTTGACTAACGTTGGTTAACCGGCGGGTGTTAATGAAACGTCGTCCAAAGGTTAATCTGTTATTGTAATTGTAAACGTAAGGCTGTTAAACAAGCTACTTAAGTTGCTTTGCAAGTAAACCAAAGCGAGTTTGTGATCGGCAATAAATGTAAACAAGACAAGAGTGAACGACTGAAAT